TTATTTGATCCAAACTACAGAACTGGATCTAAGACCCTCGCTGTTTAATGTTCAACTCTGATTTGAAGCAAGCTGGTTGTGAGGGGCAGAAGGTCTGATTAGGCTCTGGCTACAAAGGCAGTCTGGCTGATAAGTTGGGTTCCGTGTTAGGCCAGGCAGATGTAAATGGAGATATTTAAAGGTGCATCTGAGGTTAAATGGAAGCATATGTATTCTTTCTCCCATCTTCCCTCGTCCCCAGTTTTGACTTTTGGAAAAAAGATCAGATTGTTTCCCCAAGATCAAGACATGCCTAGCTTCCCTTCATCCTTCTGGGCCGTAGGCACAGAAACATTTCAGAGTCAGATGGCGTTGTAACCAATGCCCTGAAGGGGCCTGCAGAGGGAAGAAGGCTAGAGAGGCTTTTCTTGTACCCCTATTCTGTGAGGACCCTTCTCGACGTCCTGTGTGGCTAGAGGGGTCCCTTTGGCCTTCCTGCCTTGTTTGGGGTATCACTGCTATTTGGCCTTTTCCATTCCCAAAACAAACAGGATGTTTGGACATGGCAGGGGGATAACAGGGAGTGTGGACATGCAACTCAGGAATCCCAGGTCAGTATTCCTTTCCCTTGATTATCTATGGCCTAGAGAGGATCAGGGCAACCCAGGCCCTCAGATGGAATCAGGAGGTTCAGAAAGATGCAAGGGGAAAGAAGGATTCAGATGTCAAAGGGCAAACAGAGGAGTCAGGCTGGGTGGAGTGGCATGGATGAAGATGGAGATAGGGGCTTGAGAGGAACTGATGAAAGAGCCAATGATAGAGCCCCCAAATGTAGGTTTTCACCTTAACTCAATGGACAGCTTTGCATTCAGACTGGAGGGGGTACAGCTAGGCGGGCAGAGAATGGTTTAGAAAGCTCGTCATGTCCCAGAGAGCCAGGGTGAATGTTCCTTGGTTGCTCAGGAAGCTTTTGCCTCATAGTTTGGGTTCAAGAACGTATCTTGCCATCCTACCCTGCTACTTCTTGGTGCTCTTGGCCTAAACCCTTCATGGAAGAAATTAAAAAGACATGTAAGCTAGGAGTCTGGGTGTTGGATGGAGGAAAGGAGAGAGGGAGGGGGAGAGAGAGTAACCTTGAGTGTGTAAACATTTGGTTGATGGAGTTTTTGAGGCTCAAGTTCAACCATCTTCCGAGAAGCATTTCTCCATTTCTTTTCCTTCTCTGTTGTTTGGAATGAGGCTATTAACTTGCTGAGGCCTGGTCTGCATCTAGGGATCAGGAGCCTTTTTTTGAGGCTAACTTAGAGAGAAACTGAGATTACTCATCAGGTGCTGTCTTTACTCTTTGGGGCAGGAGTTGGAGAAGGAGGAAGAAGGATCTGGTCCTTTATCTCACTCTCAATAGGATATTTAGGGTTAATAAATCCTACTTATTAATAAGTTAGAGAGGAAGAAATGCACCCTCCCCCCAAATGGGACCACTCTCAGATGCCAGGTAACCAGATTTAAAATACTACAAAGTGAATTTCTGTAATTTTTGGATGGGATTACATTGTTTTGGATGACCCTGAGGAATTGCCTGAGAATCGCCACAAGGAGGCAGCATCTACTCACTTACAGTGGTACTCTGAAGACACACCCTCCAACCATGCAGATCTTAACCCATCCATGCTTGGGCCATTGTCCTGGGATGAAGAAGGTAAAAGGATCTGGACCTCTTTCTTTCATAAGGGATCTACCCAGGAAATCATGGGGCAATGGAGAGAACATTGGAATTGAAATCAGATGATGTGGGTTCATATCCAACCTCTGACACTACCTGTGTAAGCTTGGAGAAGTCACTTAAACACCTCCTGCCTCAGTTTCCTCATCTGTAAAATGAGCCTGGCCTCCATCATCACTGCTAGCTTTAGATTTGAGGGGCAGCTCTTCAGTAGACCGTATTCTCATTCTGTCTGGGGCCAGCTGCTTTACCTCTCTGAGGGATGTATGGGTTTGGACTGCATCCCCTCTAAGGCCTTTTCCAGTTGTAAAACCATAATCCTATGACCTTATGACACACAGAAGGATTCTGATTTGAGGATAAAGCCGTTTTAAGATTATTTTTCAAGGTTAAGGAGTACTTGGAAATCGAGGATCTCACCTGATTAATCTCCCACCTGGTAGCTAGTCTCAGGTGGCTATAAAGTAGCTTGTGTTGGGGGCCAGGGATTGAGTTTAGGAGGACATCCATTTCTAGAGACACATTGAGGTTTCTGCATTTGACTCTTTCTTTTTCTGAGTCCCAGTTTAGCATGAGTGGCTGTAGTCACAATCCTCCTTATGAATGATACTTATCAAAGATTGGGGCATTTGTGAAAACATGAAGTTTAATTGGGAGTGGAAATCAGAGAGGACAGTGTATGTCAGAGGGGAAGGGAAGAGGGAGGGCAGAGGCAGCAGCAGCAGCAGCTTAAAGCCCTGGGGAGCTAGTCATATCTTAGGAGATATGACTCAAAAGGCTCAGAAGGACTGAAAAAAAGGCCTTGGGAGGAGCCATGAGAGGAGCCAGTTATTTTAATTGAAGAAGGTGAAGGGGTGACTCAGTGACCATCTTCAACTCATCAAAGGGGCTTTTATAAGGAGGATGCTGAGCCATTCTCTTGATTGAATAAGAGAAAACTGACTTAAAGAAAAAGAGAGTGAATTATCATTGCTAATATTTACATAACTTGCTATAGTTGCAAAGCATCTTAGAGATAGTTTTTCATTTGATTTTTAGAACAACTGTGTGCAGCATGTATTATTGTTAGCTTCATTTTAGAAGTGAAGAAATGGGATCCAAAAGTGGCTTACCAAGGCTGATACAGCGAGGATGTGTTTGAGGCAGCATTAGAATGCAGGTCTTCTTAATCCTAAATCTGGACCTCTCTCCACTGCTTTGGGATTGTGACCGGACATGAGGAAGATTTTGCTGACCACCGTGGGATAGAACAGTAGCATGAACCATATGTGATGCCATTTTCCCAACAGGTCTTACAGAAAAAGAAAGACAACTATCCATCCTAGGTGGACTTGATCACTGGAAGGTCTCTTTGCACTCCTAGCTTCCATGAGGTTGTTCTTAGAGATTATCTGGCGTCATAGCTATGTTAACCCTGGCCAAGGGGGCCCGAGTGTTTTCTCTTTAGCAGGTCTCCAAGCTTAGTCAGAGGGTGCTGTATATAAGAAATGTTGCTTGTCCACAATAATAAAGAAAACCAAGGGGCTAGGGCATGGATAGGAAACTGAGGCCTCTCTCTTATCCTGTAGGGTTAGAGCAGGCCCTCTGAGTCTCCATCACCTGGGAGGCCATTGGTTTTTTCAGATGCCACCTAACATTGATTAACACCTACAAATAGGCAGAAACTTTACTAGTTCTTTCTTGGGGAGGCAATTACACCAAGGGGCCTAGCCAGGGAGAGGTCAGGATTATTGTGAAAGGGAGAAGATTTGCTTTTCACTAGGTAGGGGAGCAAAAGTTCTTAGAAAGGACTTTTAAAATCTGGATCAAGAGAAGGGAGTTCTGTCAAAAGCAGCTAATTAAATTATTCATCTTTTTAAGGCATGGATTCTTAACCTAGAGACCTTGAACTTGGCTTTTAAAAATATTTTGGTAACTGTATTTCAATATACTTGGTTTCCTGTATGTCATCCTATATCTATTATTTAATGTATTTAAGAAAATGATTCTGAGAGGTCCATAGGTTTCAACAAATTGTCAGAAGTCTTGCAAGAAAGGTGAAAAGAACCCCTGTTCTATAGGGTAAAACTACTGAAGGGAACACATCCCCCCTTGAATCTCTTCCTTTGCACAAGATCACAGAGTCTCAGAGCTTTAAGGCACCTCAGTGACCATCCCTGAATCCCCTCAACAATAATCATGCCAAGGGGTCCTCTGGCCTTTGCTTGAAGACGTTCAGTGAGGGGACGCCCACTCTCTCCAAGGCATCCCACCTTTGGCTACGTCTCCCTATCCCTACCTCCAAATCTATCTCTGCTGCTTCCATCTATTGTTTCTAGTTCCAAGTTGAATCCTCTTCCACTCAGCAGTTATACACACTGTCCTAAATCTTTTCTTCTAGGTTTTAAACATCCCTGGGTTCCCCACTGAGCTTGGATGGCATGATCTGGTGACCCTTCACTGTTCTGGTCATCCTTCTCTGGACGAGTCCTCCAAATATGGTCTGACCAGGGCAGCATAGGACAGACCACAGGACTAAAATCTTCTTTATCACCTACGCTGCTCCTAAATTAGTGTAACCCAGCATCTCCTGCACTTTTTGAACTACTCCAGTCCACTGCTGTCTCCTGTTGTCAAGGGTACATAGGTACACCTTGTGTCTTTATTCTGCCCCTCTTATAACTATCCTTTTAGGTTTCATATCTCATGGGGAGAGGGTAAGTCCACCACTGGAGCCAGAAACTAACCAATAATGTTATGTATCGACATAATGTAACACTCAAGAAACAACCTTTATACTCTCCAGGCTGAGGAAGCAAAGTCTTCTCTCTCTCTCTTTCTCTCTCTCTCTCTCTCTCTCTCTCTCTCTCTCTCTCTCTCTCTCTCTTTCTCTCTCTGTCTCTCTGTCTCTCTCTCAAAAAAAAATAGCTGAGAAAATCAGAGGCATGTGGAGGCAAGGTGACTTCCCCAATATCACAGAGCAAGGTCAATGTAGGGCTTGTGATTCCCAGACTGCTGCTTTTGGCCAGCTTCAAGAGGATCATAGACTTTTAGACTCAGAAGGCGGCTTAGACACCTTTCATTTCTCCTTTTATACATTCTTGAGTTGTAAGAGATTTCCAAGTTGCCTTGGCCATCCCATGCCTTTGAAATGCATTCCCATTATACTGTGAGTTCCTTGAGAGCAAGGATTATGGGTTTCTTTCTTTCTTCCTCCCTCCCTCCCTGCCTCCCTCCCTCCCTCTCTCTCTCTCTCTCTCTCTCTCTCTCTCTCTCTCTCTCTCTTTCTTTCTTTCTTTCTTTCTTTCTTTCTTTCTGCCTTTCACTGTATCCCCAGTACTTAGCACAATGCCTGACACATAGGAGGAACTTAATAGATGCTTGTTAACTTGACTCTACAACATCACTTATGAGTGGCTTTCCATGTACTCTGTCTATACCTTATTTATACCAAGTTAGGGCAGGGATTGGTTCTGCCTTCCTTTGTACCTGCTGTACATAGCATCATTTCTGGCATGTAGTAGGTGCTTATAAATGCTTATTGACTGCCTGTTTGGCCATCCAAATCTGCTTGAAGGACTCTAATGCTGAGGAAGTCTATTCTACTTTCAGAGGGAGAGAGGAGGAGCTTATTCTTTACAAATTCCCATCCATTTCACAGAGAAAGAAACTGAGGCCCAGGGAAGTGGAGTAACTTACTCAATGCCAAAGAGTGGCAGAACCAGGACCAGAAGCAGTGTAGCAGACGGACCTGGGAAAGGGGTTGAGGGACATAACTAGATGATGTGCTGGGGACAGAGAAGTGGGAGCAAGAGCATGGCATATGGAATTCATGAGATGGATTTGTGCCTTGGTGGCTTATACACTAATTGATTTCAATCCCAAGTGGGGGACAAATCATCTCCAGTCATCACAGCCACCCTGACCACTTGAATGCCAATGTCGTACAATCCAGGGGCTCCCAAGTGGTTCATACAAACCAATGCCAGCCTTGTTGAGTGGGAACACAGAAAAGGTCAACATGTGCCAAGGGAATACAGTTTCTCTGCACCAAAGGTCTGCAGGCAACAGGCTTGCACAGGGAAGAGGAGAACAGATGAGGACCCATGCCCCTCACACATACACATACACACACATGTGCGTGCACACGCACACCGAAAAATGACAACTTTTAAAAAAGGATGGTGTGTGACGTTAGGTGCTGGGGACTCATAGGAAGAGACCCACAGCTAGTCTCTTCTCCCCAGTCCCTGCTGCCTTTCCAAAGAAACCCCAGAAAACCAACATGGAAATGCCAGGCGGGAGTGATCTGGTGATTTCATGCAGCTGTGGTATGCCCTTGGAATAGAGAGAGAGAAAGAGGGTGAGAAGAAATGTCATTTCCTAAGAGCCGCTGTGGAGAAGAAGCCATTGCATTGCAGCAGAAAAGTTCAAAGAGGAAACAAAAGGGGCCAAGGGAAGCCCCACGGGACTCGAAGTCCGAAAAGAAGAAAAACGAACCAAAAAACCACGACGCAACAACAGAACAAGAGGGAGTGCGCATTTCACGGGAGTCCCATAGGAAAGAGTCAGCAGTGTCCATCTTTCCAAAACCTAGGACCTTCCGCCTGGAGAAGGCCTGGGGGCAGGCAGCCCAGCCTGGCATCCATCCGAATGGGGCAGAAAGGACCTGGTTAGGAGCTGAACACCCTGTCGGGGAAGAAGGGAGGGGGAGAGAGCGGGGTTAGCACAAAGCCCTTCCAGTAGACCAGAGACAGCTGTAGAAAACATTCCCACAATCTCCCAAGTTCCTGATGTCTGTCTTCCTTCCTTCCTTCCTTCCTTCCTTCCTTCCTTCCCTCCTTCCCTCCCAGTCACATTTTAAAAGTACGTACTATGTGCCAAAAGGCTGGGAATACAAAGAGAAAGAATGAAACAATTGCTCCTCTCGAGAAGCTTACCTTCTGTTGGTCAAAACAACATAGCCATAGACAAGTCAATATGTATACAAAATACTTTTGATGGGGGTGGGTGAGGGAAACTTGCAACAGTAAAGAATCAAGAAAAGTATTATGTTACTAAGACTATAGCCAAGAAAGTATGATAGAATGGAGAAAAAAGTTACAAAATTCTATGTGTCATGTAAGGTCCACAGTGACTTTAAATGAAACTAACTCACTAGGAGGAAAAAAATTCCAAACCCCCAAACAAACCCCAAGATATTCGGTTCATGATTGGCACATTATCATCTTACTCCAATAGGGCAATGAGACCCTGTGGTCTCATTGATGAGGAATTTCTTCCAAGGATTTGGATCACAATCCATCTAAATCCGCCCAAGCTGATTTCTTATCTTGGGGAAAGATATGGAGACCTTGTATCTTAGAAAATAAGGTGATTTATATGTTAAGCATTAAAAAAAATGTTGCAGTGCATTTTTGAATTGAAGATCCATGATTTTTTTTTTTTTTTGGAGGTTGGGAACTTCCTCTGCTAACACAGATTGCTATCTCCCTCCAGCCTGGCTGGTGATCTGTTGTGGTCAAAACCTTCATTTCATTACAGATAGCCTGTTGAGGCACATTGCTCAACCTAGCTAAGCTAGTCCGCAGACAGTAAGCTTCTGATGCTGATCAGGTGTGGAAGTCTTGCCAGCTAGGGCCTGTCTGAGATTGCACTTTGTTGGCATGGTCTTAGAGAACTCGGGGTCACCACCACTTCGCCACACATGCGTCTGAGAAAGAGTTTAGTGGTGGTTTAAAGAAGAGTCCTATTTCAGTTCCAAGACAATTTAATCTAAAAGTCTTGGGAAGTAGAAGCCATGTGATCACCACAAGTTGGAGGGAGTGTGTGTTGTATGGAATGGCATACTGTAGACTTGAAATTATGGTAAGACGTGTTAACGTCAGGATGACAATAAAGTCAACCTCACTTTTATCCATTAAGGAAGTGATATCTTGTCCTCATTTTATCATGGTCTAAGGCATTTCCTATGAGATTATAGATTTAGAGTTGAAAGAGACCATAGAGGTCATTGAGTCCAACCCCTTTATTTTACAGATGAGGAAACTGAGGCCCAGACAGATGATTTGACTTACTCAGGGTCACACAGTTTATGGGATTTGAACCTAGGTCTTTCTGACTCCAATTCCAGTGCTCTATCTACTACATCATGCTGTTATCTCTAGTGGAGAGGGTGCTGAATCTGAAGTCAGAAGTTAGGGGTTTAAATCCAGCCCTCTCCTTTTCTACCAAGGTAACTTTGGGCAAGTCACTTCATTCCTCGTAGGTCTTAATTTCGTTATTTATGAACTGAAGGTGTTGGACTAGATGACCTCAGAAGTCCCTTTCAACTCTGAATCCTATAATCTCTAGGTGTCTGGAGCAGGGCCTGTGGATGGCATTATCAAAATACAATGAATTGTTATTCATAAGAAGATTGCATGAGAGACCGTGTAGTGTAATAGATAAAGATCTGTCCCGAGAGGCCAGAAGACCTGGATTCAAGTCCTGACTCTTATACATACTGGCTGCTTGACCCTGGGCAGGTCACTTAACCCCTCAGTGCTCCAGGCATTATTTATTTATTTTTTTGGAGGAGGCAATCAAGGTTAAGTGACTTGTCCAGGGTCCCACATCTAGTAAGTGTCTAAGGCAAGATTTAAACTCAGATCCTTCTGACTCCAGGGCTGGTGCTGTATCCACTGTACCACCTAGCTGTCTCTGCCTTAGGCTCTAAGTTGTAGAGTAGGCTACAATTTGCATGAGTTTCCTTTCTAGAAGTTCCTTACACCAGTATGATCACAGGTTCCATCTCTCTTCCCCATCCCCAAAGAAAATTCCTTGTAGTCCTTATGGGACGTAAGTCACAGTCGAAGTCAAATGTCATCACTATGTTGGAGCAATGTACAGTGTGACTGACTGTGGCTGGTCAGACCAATAAGATCTCACAAGACTCTACCACAGATAGGGCACAAATAGTCTGTAGGAACATTATATTCTGGTTGGGGAAGCTGGTGGATTGAAAGCAAAACCATAGTGGAAAGTGTTTAAGCTGTCTACAGGTTGGGAATCCCTGCTATTCAGCCAAGTGGAGAGCCATGATCCAAAGACAAGGCATCTTAAGAGATGTGCCCAATGGAACTGGAAGGGGTCTCCGTAGGCAAGAGGGACATTCTGTGTCTAAGCCAGAACTATCATTAGCAGTTCCATTTCCCTGGATGAGTACCACGAAAGGTATCCTCAAAGCAATTTTTTAAAAGAGAAATTCAGTTCAGGGTGGTAGAGAGATATCCTGACACAAAGTCCCAAGGATTGAGAACCTAGGCCATGAGGAGGCTGATGATGGGGAGGTTGCTAAGTCCATGGTGGGGCCAAGTCAAGGAGGAACTCCCCTGTGATGTAGCTGCTGGGGGGAGATAGCAGGCCATCTTGTAGCATTCTATTTTAACTAATTATTATTGTTAAATAGGGGTTATGATTAGTTATTTGTACCAGCTGAATAAACACAATTGTTCCTAGAACCCTCTGAATGTTGGTGCCCTTGGTGAAAGTCCCAGTTGCTCCACCCTGGTTCCAGCTCTAGTCTAAGTTGTGCTTGACTTTGATCCCTGAGATTTCCAAAGAAACAGAGTTGGCTTACTCATCAGTGTCCTTCTTGCTCTCTTCAATGAAGGCAATGGACTCAGATCTAAGGCGGTTGGTCACTTCATACGTGCGCAGGGTGACTCCAAAGATATCTTCATGGTAGCGATTGTCATCCTAAGGGATAGAAACACTGGCTTTGAGTCCAAGGAGAAGTTCTTCAGAGTCATACAAGAGCCCAGTTGTTGGTGGGAAATGCCAAGAACTTTATGGTTTCTAAAAACGTGAGTCAGTGATAGACATTTCTTGCTAACTTGCCATGAGACCTTAGGAAAGTCACTTCCCCTACTGGGCCTCCATTTTTTCCTTTGTTAAATAAGAGGGTTGGATTAGACAGGAGACAGCTTTGTGTAGTGAAAAGAGGACTGGCTTCGAACTTAGAAGAACTGGGTTTGAATCTTGGCTCTGCTACTTATGACCTGACCTTGGACATGTCCCGTAACTCTCTGGGCCTCAGGTTCACTATTTGTAAAGTGAATGGGGCTGAACTTGGTAGCCTCTAAGTCTTTTCTAAACAGTATCTCTGAAATGACTTCTCCAGCTCTTAATAGTCTACGTGACCTATTCCACAGCTCCAGCCATAGAAGATTCCAGAACACCTAGTCACCGCTCACCCTCAGTTTGCTAATGAACACCCCAGCCTCTTCTGCTGAGAGCCTCCCGTGCTGTATCATGATGCGTTGGATGGCTTTCAGAACATCGGCTGCCATCGTGACGTCCCCACACACATAGATGTGGCCTCCTTTCTCCTTCAGGGCTCTGTACACGGTCTCTGCCAGCTGTTCCTGTAAGGCATCCTGTACGTATTTCTGTGGGGAAGAGAGAGTGTCAATAGCAATGGCCTGGCCAGTCCCAAACCTTGGACACCCTATTTCCTTTCTTTAAAAACAAACAGCTTGTTTTTAAAACCAGCAACCCATCCTTTGTAATGAAAATTTAAAAAAAACCCAATCAATCTTTCTGTGTTTGACAGCATATGTGACATTTTACACCCATAATCTCCTACCTTTGTGAAGAGTGAAGGTAGATGAATATCATTATTATTAATGATAATACTTAACAATAACAGTGATAATATCTAACATTTACATGGTACTTTAAGGTTCACAAAACACTTTGCTTATCTTATCTAATTTGATCTTCAAACTCATTTTCTCAACTCCTCTCCCAAGGCAAGCTTCGACTCCCTCATTTTCAAAGGGTTCCTTCTCCTGGTAAAGTTGTCCATTCCTTCTCATTATTATATGGCTACCTGTGAGACAGGAGGCCTCAAAGGACTTACATGGTCCCTATCCCTGTTAAAGCTGAGGAAGTCTTCCCCAAGGGACTTTCCCTTGCTATGTTTCCAAGAACTTCAGACTCCTAGAATTGGAAGGGAACTTGGAGGCCATCTTGTCCAACCCATACCTGAGCAAGATTCTCCAAACAAGCAGCCACCTAGTTCTTCCCCAAAGACCTCTTGTGAAGGAAAACCTATTATTTCCCAAGGCAGTCCATTCTACTTTTGAGTAGGGCCAAGTGTTGGAAAGTAGACTGTTCTCTGTGCCTGGAATGATCTCCCTTCTCTTCTTAACTTCTTGGGATCCCTAGTTCCTTTCAAAACTCTTTGTTGTTGTTGTTCAATCATCTTCAGTAATATCCAACTCTTCATGACCCCATTTGGGGTTTTCTTGGCAAAGATACTGCAATGGTTTGCCATTTCCTTCTCAAGCTCATTTTACAGGTTGAGAAAACCAAGGCAAACAGGATTAAGTGACTTCCCTAGTGTCACACAGATAGTAAGTGTCTGAGGCTGGATTTGAACTCATGATGAGTCTTCCCAATTTCAAGCCCAGTGCTCTATCCATAGCACCACCTAGTGGTCCCAGTCAGTAGCATTAAAAAAAAAAAAGACTAGTATAATGGACAAAATCTTGGACTTGGAATCAGGAAGATCTGAGTTAATATCTTGCCTTAGACACTTACTAGCTATGTGATCCTAGGCAAGTCATTTCCCATCTCTGGACCTCAGTTTCATTCTCTGTAAAATGAAGGGATTACGTTCAATGGGCTCTAAAGACCGTTCCATCTCTAGATCCATGATCCCACAGCACAATTTTGCCAAAAGCCAGCCCCATACAAATGTCCTCTTCCTGTTTTAGCTGCTGGAACAGATCCAGTAAACTCACTCTTCTTAAGAGGCTACTTTTGAGAAGGTTTATTATGTTGTCTCCTCCACATATACTAAAGAACGTTCCTGATCCCCCCAGCTTTAGGGTGATCCCTACCCTACCCTACAATGACTATGTATATATGTTCTGTTGATTTGTTTATGTATTATCTTCATTCTCCACCCCCAATATAATTTAAACTCTTTGCGGGCAGGGACTGCTTCATTTTAGTCCTTGTCATTAGTATTGAGGACAGAGTGCTTGGCACCCAGCAGGTCCCAAATAAATGCTTGCTGAACCTTCCTCCTTACCACTTTCACCCAAGTTCTCTTATTGCATCCAGGGCCATCTCTAGTCATTCTGATCTATATCCCTCCTTCACTTAAATCCAATTCACTTGCAAGTCATGGCATCCCCTCCCTGATGTCATGGTCCTTTTCTAGAACAAAGGACAAACAACTACAACCCACTGTTCCTAGTTCTGCCCCCTGGTATCAAGTAGAACAAATCTAGACCTGTTTCATGTGACAAGACTCCAAGGCCTTGAAGACACTGGCTCCAGAGTCCACTGGAGTGCTTAAATGTCCATGGAAAGAGAAAGTAGGAGGGAGGAGTGAGAGAGAATGACTCGCCAAGTGTGTGCCCCTCAGATCATGGCATGAGAGGGGCAGGGGGACTAATTACCTTTGGTTTGTCTGGCTCACGGGAATAGGCCGTGTACAGCTCTCTGAAGACACCTTTGTTCTTGGCCTGTAGGGTTTCCTCCTTGTAGATGTGGTCAATCTTGGACTGCCGACATCCAAAGACCAGGACCATGGGACATGGAGACATGCCTGGGGGTCAGGGAAACACAGGTCACTGACAACACTGGCAGCTGATTGGGTGGGAAGCCCATGCAGAAATAATAGTCATTGCAGTAGTAGTAGTTATAAACATTATTACAATAATGGTTAGTATTTATTTATTTGAGAAGCAGTGTGGTGTAGTTGATGGAGAGCTGATCTGGAAAGCCAAAAGACCTGCGTTCAAGTTCTGCCTCAGACACATATTGGCTCTGTGATGCTGAGTATTTCTTAACTTCTTAGTACTCTAAGCGTCTCTCTAAGTTGAAGAGAAGGTGCTGTACTTACATCAGTAAAGGGAGTTCTCTTACCTGGGAGTTCCCTATAACAATGAATATAGGTTGGTTGGTCCTCCCTTCTTCACTTTCTTCCTTCTCTCTTTCTCCCTCTCTCCCTCCCTCCCTCCCTTCCTTCCTTCTTTCCTTCCTTCCTTCCTTCCTTCCTTCCTTCCTTCCTTCCTTCCTTCCTTCCTCCCTTCCTCCCTTCCTCCCTCCCTCCCTCC